TGCACCCAAAATATTTCATGGTTCAGCAACACTGATCAATCTAATAAACTTAAACCTACACCATCCTTCCTATTGTGGTATTTTAAAGAGTACTTAGTAGAAATATTAAGCAACCTAACTAATAGGGTTGCCAACTCCTAGCAAAAAGAAAAAAAATAGGGAACCAACCCCTGCCCTCCGCCTCACAATGCTTAATTGACGTAATCAACCTTAATTTAATGCACGTGTAAAGAAAAAAAAATGCACAGAAATCAATTATTTTTCTACAATAATTAAATAGATTCTATATCTTTCTTCAACTGAACTGCAGACTGCACAGATGGTATCTTCCCAAAGGAAAAAGTGTTATAGCTTACTATGTTATAAATTTGACTTAATAGTTCTGATATACAATAATGGACTTCTATACATTTGACATCAGATGAAAACTTTGGTTGTAAGATTCAGATAATTATCACAGACGCGGACTACAGCTTTCTTGGCTGCTGCCTCAAAGCACATTGTGCGCTGTCTATCTTGCGTGCTGCACAATATCGTTTATTATTTAGTATCTACTGATATTTACTGCTAGCTAGTTTATTGTGATGGTGCTGTTTTTTTTATTATGTTGCTCTTTGTTGTTTGCTTTCTCTTCTGTTTTTTTTCTCCATACAAGTGACCCAGGTGTTTTGTTTTTTTGTTTGTTTTTTTTCTTTCTTCCCCCCCTTCTCACCGTCTCTTCTCCCCTTTGGTTTTCTTTCTCTCCCTCTCTTTCTTTCATTCTTTCTCCCTGTCCTATCCCCCAGTCATGTCTGTCCCGTTTGTAGCAACTGAAAATAAAATAAATTCATAATTATAATAAAGGTAAATCAAATGGACCAATATGGCAAGGCCATGATGATCCACTTGGTAAAATAAATCCGCCTGGCATCTTTCTTGGCCTTAAGACAACAATTCTGATGGCTAAAGATCCAAACGGGACACAAAAAAAAAGATTCAGATAATTGTTTATTAAAAGCTAGACATGACAATTAGAAAGAATGTATGTCTTTTTGCCCCCCTTTCCCTGTTAATGCCCTACCTGGCCCCCTGGCAAAATCTTGCTAGACCCGCCCCCGCACAGTTACCAGCCGTCAGCTACTTAGAAAAGGATCCTGGTGCTGATCGGCTGATCAGCTGATCATTGATTAGATTCATGATTGAAGTAGCAGCAGGAGAGGGAGGGAGAGAGAAGAGGCAGTCACTCCATATATCGGTCGTTAAGCTTAACGTGGGAATGCTTTATAAACATTCAGAGATGAACTTACACACTTGCTTTACTTCTCTATGGGAAACCTTTCTCTGAGATGAAATGCCGGTTTGGTAGCGAGGCTACAAATGCTCAACCAGACCCCCAACAGGTCTTGCACGCCACAGCCGCTCTATCACGTGAAGCATACTGCTCCAACAGCTAAGGTTATGAGCTGAGTTACGCCATGTCGCAAGTTTTGTGAGTTGCTTTTGTGATATTTAATGGATCGGATTACATTTTTTATTTCTCTCTGATATTCGATCCAGTAATTTAGGTCAGTATCGAATCGGTCCATCTCTAGTCAAAATTGAAAAATATAAAACGAGATAATATGAAAGATTTATATTCTCACTGGACACCACCTTTTACCTTGCTAGCACCAGGTTATATCCATTATTGCCTTCATAACTGGCTTGATTCTTTGAGAGCTGAATAAATGAATATCTGTGAACCTCACACAACGATGTGACAGAAGTCATACAGAAAAGATTACTTTAAGTTATTACTGCTGAAGGCGTTTCTACAAGTGTTGTGTACTTACTTTTGCACATCACTGTATATTAAAATTTTGGCCTCATTGTTCACTAAAGTTATGCACAATCTAAAAACTCAGTTCCAAAATTCAAAAATTTTCCTTGGATGATATTGCTACAGTTACACCTTCAGAATGACTGAAAGTAACATAATATGATGGCACTGCTTTTTCCTGTGAGGTCACAAACAAATCACTGCAGTGCAGGAGCAAAGCATAAAACATAAAACAATTATTAATAATTATTGTAATGTGTAGTGCCTGTGTGTGGTCAACAGATAATGATTGTTACAACAAGAGTTGATGTTACTCATGTTTTATTGCAAAAATATAGATTTGATAACACACTACAAAAACATCAACACAAACATAATACATGACAGTCTCAAAAACAAACCAATAGCACATCAGTAGCTGAGTATTTTTACTGTGCTTTCAATAAATCACAATGAATTTGTTACTCAGTCGCTTAAAACTGTATGTGTGAACTGATAAAATAATTACATTTGAGCTGGGGACAATTGATTAATCACATACTTGTTTTGTATGTTAACACTTTGTGAAAGCTGCACATCATTTCTAAGATCAAATACGTGATAATCAAATAAATGTACCTATTTTCCACTTCCTGAGAAGTTAAAAACACAAATGCAAGTAGACAGTGCCGTTGGAAACAGTGTTTGTCCCACTGCAAATATGCATTTGAAGAATTGCTTTTTCTCAAAAATGTTACTCAACAGGCAAATGCCGTGGTCTCGAATTACAATTGTAATTTTATTGACCCACATTAGTCTTTAGGAGACATTTTTCCCCCGTCAGTGTGGTTTTCTATATGGCACAAAATACAAATCCTATGCACGTCATCAGCTGTTGCTAAGATGAAGCTGCCCACTAAAGAAGTGGAATAAGTTCAAGCTTATTCCAAACATCTTTTAAACCAAAAATAAGTTGTACAAAGTCTTTGACTTTATTTGCACAGTTGCTCCAAAGTATAAGAAATGCTGAAACGACTAATCAAAAATAGTAGTAATATTAATATTAATAGTAGTAATGGAAGAATGCTAGAACTGTGGGCCCTGATACAATTCAACTCACTTTCAAGGACTCCTAAACCTATTTTCAGTATGTTCACGTCTGACAACCCCCCCCAAAAAACGTAATCAGTTAGTGCAACCTTTTGTTGTTGTTACATTCCCATGCATTTGTGTATGCAAAAATTAATTTTGCAAATAATGTCAGGTCACATATTGCTTTTGGGTCTTTCATAGAATCCAGTCAAACTGGTATCTACTGGTTTATCACTCAGAGCCCCAGAGAGCAGCCATTTGGCTTTTCTACCTTTAAGCGGTGCTGTAATTTTGGAATAAACCCCCCAAAAACTCATGTATGAGTGCAACAACTTCTAATGGACATTTCTGCCTGGACCAGTGTGACTAACTTAGATTACATCTTCTCAAACTCAAACAACAAAGATGTTACATAAGACCGGTTGTCTTATGTAATTTGACGCAACAATTTTGTCTCCTGCATAAACACTGCATGGCTGACGGAGTTTCAGCTGACAGTTACTGAAGAGTAAAACCACATAAATCTTTAGTATTTGCTGGTTTGTTGTGCTTTCTTTTTTTTTCTTGGCTAAATGTGAGCAAAAGATAAAGTCATGCTATTGGGAAAAAGTGCTGAGAATAAAGTATTTGAATTGATGATTTGATAATCTGAGCAGAGCATATAATTAGCTTGACTGTATATTTACTATAGTTTGCAATGCCAAGAAATCAATACCTGTTCTCACACTTTTGGAATTAACAGTGTTGATGCTAAAAAGCTGTCAAGACTGGCTGAGGCCTTGACATCAAGGATTAGTGCTCTGTTGACTTCTTGTTAAAAAGCCAATAATTCACCTTTATTCTAAAAGATGCCTGTCAAACCCTGTGTTTACATCATGAAAGTGTATTGTTGTGCCATACACTCGAAAATATGGTGCTCTACATCAATGATGCTCATATAACTTTGATTTGTATTACAAATATGATTAATTCTTGTGCTTAACTGTAAAAAAATTATGCCATGGTGACCAATGGGAGTGTGAAGGGAACACAGTAATTTTAATAATTAAATAGTAAATAATAAGGATACACTTGCTGACAGTAACATGTCAGTCACCTATCGATATTTTAGTCAAACAAAGGGCAACAGAATTCTCATAAAGTGCAAATTAAATTAGTTCCAACAAGCATATTATCTGACATTCTTCTTATTGCCTGTAGACGTTGTTGGCAAACATGTATAGAAAGTTGAACAGCTGGGGCATAGCATTTTGGCAGGGGAGTAAATAACGGTGCTCAAAAGATGAGAGGCACTTATAAGGGTGTCGTATTCACTAATTTTTCATGCCCCAAGCATAAATTTTAGTTTGAAAATTCCAGTAAGCTGAAAGGGTGGTTGTAAAAAGCCAATAACATGACAACTAGGGAGGGTCAAAACACTGCGAAACCCAAACTAAAAGCAGTATTCGTGAGACTGAGGAAGCCTTATGACTCGCTGGGTCGTAAATAAAAACTGCCCAACACAACTGCTTTTGCTGTACAGTACATGCCTTATATTTTGCACCATGTTACTGATGCCTTCCCCTGCTGAATGAAATACCTGCACAGCCACAATAATCTACATAGGCATGGATGCCAGTTTTACTGCCAAATGTTGCCTGCTGTTAAATGCTTGACATCACTAAATGCATACAGTTCCCCAATAATATGCAACATAGCAACATAGTTTATCAATGTACAAGCCATAGACTAAAGAGGCTATGCAGATATTTATCTTGTACCAGACTTTCACTCTGTTAGAACACTATGACTTTCAGAAACACATAATAATATAGAATATTAACCTGTGACCATTCCCCACTTTACAATCTTTTATGGAAGCAGTCAAGAAGTTTGATCTTGACAGCAGGTGGAAAAGCTTAAATGCCATTACCTAAGAGGGTCCTTACCACCATTAAGGACTTATCCCTTTTACTTATCTTGAACTCTGTGGGGGGTCTGAGTGTTTCAAAGTGAAAGCATGTTCTTTGAAAAAGTGAAATGCCCCTTTAAAACCTTTACATTCTTCTTGTGTGCTTTTCTATACCTTTCATACAATCAGGTGATAACACCTCTTGAACCCCCCCCCCCCCCCCAAAAAAAGAAACCCTACTTCTACAATCTCATTGCATTTCCATCTGTATACCCCAACACTAGCAGTACACTAACTGATACAAATATAAGCATGTTAGCACAGATATAATGTGAGAACGTAGCTTCTCTTTAGGTGAACAATGCAGTGAAAAAAGGTCAAGTTTTAGCAATAAAGCACTGAGTAGCAATCTACGTATAACATACCATACCAAAGAGAAGTAAAGCAAGGGCTTGATCATTGACATCATTGTATATGTTTATACCATACAATACACCAGAAATTCATCAGTCCCTGTTCATAATTCTCATCTACTTCTAGTGTCAACAAAGCTTTTCTTGCTGCTCTCATTTAGGGCCACTGAAAAATATTTCTAGGTCTTGCACCAAAAAAAATGTAAAATGAAACATAATCACCAACAACATAAGATAAATATTTGCTCTTTTGCATACCCTTCTGGGGACCCTTATCTGGGGACAGTTGTGCTGGTTGCCCCCACTCGATAGCGGCCCAGGTCTATGTAGCAGGAATGCCGATTCAGAATATCTGTCACTATTTACTAATGTGTTCTACTCTGAGATGACTGGTCAATATCCACTTGTCCACATGATAGCAGACAGAAGAACAATGCTCCCTGCTTTAAATATATAATACATTATATACATGAAAGACATGTAGGCAAAGCTGCTCAGTAGTCCAAGAGAGAGTATTATTATAAAACACAAACTGTCCACATAACTTTTGCTCTTTTTTCAAACAAGTAGAAATAAATAAACGATTATCAAGTAGATGAATATTGCCTCCTTATTTTCAGCAGTCCTGTTAGAGTGAGGTTTATTGTGGTGTTGCAGACATGCGTGTGAGAGATTCTCCGCGGCATGGTAAACTGAACAGAGTGCTGATGGGTTTCTGCGGTACCTGAAGTTTGTTGGTTCTAAGTGAAGGCTTGATGAAGATCCGAGTGCACTCTTGAGAGAAGGCTGCATTGAAATCCTTGTAGAAGTTCCCTTAAAATCTGAGGAAAATGTTCCATTAGAATACCAGTAAACAGTCTTGTTGGAATCTTTGTGATCCCTTCCATGAGAATCTGAATGGCAGTTCCATTATTACATGAACAAATGTTCCATCAGGATTGAATGAACCTTTGACGAGTGTCAGTTTGTTCCAGTTGTATTCTACTGGAACCACATTTAAACATGAAGTGGAGTTTAATTTGAAAATGCGCGATCGATGAATGGATGTCAAATTAAAAATGTCCAGTTCCAGTGTGGATCCTACCTTAAGGTTATTTGGAATCTGGATGAAAGATTTACTCATAAGCAAATGCTTCTTTTGAATCTCAGCAAAATCTTCTCCTAGACTTTGAAGTGAAGGTTTTTAAGCGATTTCAGTGTTCCATGTGCTGCTTGCCTGCAATCTGAGTGAATATTTCACTAAAATATGTGTGAATTTTTCAGCTAATAGAACAGTTTACAATTAAAATATGCATTGCTTTGTCGTAACTTCACTGTAAGTGAAAGGTCTTACACATAGAGCAAAGCCAGCTGAATAACATACAATCAGTGGCCTCATTCAGAAGCTGGTTTTAAGGACTAGAATGGTTTTATTGCCACATTGTAGCAGTGCTATACATTCATCCAGAAGAACAGCTGTAGAGAGTATATTTAAGTGTAAATCTTCATGTCTTTATTTGTTTGTTTTCACTTCTCTTTTTTAGGCTCTGTAAGAACCATTCTTAAGATCTAGTATTTTAAAACAGCAAAGGTCAAGTATCTATTCTTGTCTTTCATTGCTTTGGAAGATAATTAAGTAAATGACAGTGAATATGAATATGGATGATTAAAATAGATTTTAGCTTCAGTTTTGCACATGAAGATGTGGTAGAAATGGGTAAAAATCAAAACCACAAGCACATCAGCATGTCAAAGCAAATATTGACATTAATTTAAATAATGATAATGGTTCAATATATGGAAATTAATTCAGTGAAACCTGATGGAACGGTAATCTCGATGGAGAAAGTTGCCAAAGAATCAGCAAGTACTTTTTTTGTTCCACGGGGCTCAGCTCACCTGAGACAGGTTGAAAAGGTTCCCTTCGAGCCCAGTGTATAAACTCACATCTGTGATACAGCCAAAAACTTTATGGTTGCTCTCAGAGTTAGATCTGCTGTCTGTGATTTAGGTATCCAAAACAGTGCCAAGAGGATCCCCAGAGTCATATAATTGAATAATTAAAGTAAAACCATTACTTAAGTTCATATTGAGCTCACCATCATCATCCCTCCAAGTAGCACCACTCAGTCCAGTTCAGTTTGGTTTTAGTGCTGCAATATCCAATATTCCCAATGACACCAACGCAAACTCCACACACAGGAACCAACAACATGTGGATCCTCCAGTTTAGATCGGTAGAACACTGGGTATCCTCGTCCACAGAAAGTGCTAAGCCACTCTAGGTCCAGTACATAGTAGGTCCATATATTGTTTTTCTGTGTTTGTGTGCGAGTGTACGAGTGTGCATGTGTCTGTATGTTTGTATTTCACATCATATGTTTACAGTAGAGTTGGTGCTGTTCATATGGACCCTCATCTCCTGAATGCTAGTAATAATTTTTTTCTGGTGTCCAGCCAAGTTCACGCCTACTCTTCGCAAATCCCTGAAAAACAGCACACAGAAAACAGGGCACTATATTTAAGCATTCTGCTAACAAATAAGGCAATGCATGAGAAAGTTGTTAAAAATAAGCCTGCATTTTGGATTACTTACATAAATAAATTCATTTTTAATGAATGTGATAACCAGTCTTTTTTGTAAGTTAGAAATTATTGTGTGTTTGGGCTTTTGGATACACACTGACTAAAGAGATTTTGCTGTTAAACCAATTTCTCAATCGTCCTCGAGTTATATATGACATTTTTACCAATGTTCTGTAGTTATATTATCTTTATATGAACTCTTAGTTCAATGAAGAGAAAAAGCATTTTGAAGTATTTGCACAGACTTGCAATCTTGTAATGCAGTGCTTACCAAATTTATTAGACCCCCTGTAATAAAAATGAGAAAACACAAATATTTTAGAAATCTATCAAAAACATGTTTAAAAAAAAGTTTTAGGCAAATAACAAACTGAACTCACATTTTTTTATCCAAATTTGAACCGGCAAACTCTTCTCTGAGAGGTCAGAAATTAACCAAGTCTAAAATTCAAGTGCTGAAAATAAACTTTCCTGTTCAGGAATGCAAGTAAAGAACTGTAATTTGGCTTTACTATAATATGCTTTACACTAAATTTGAAAATGAATGGAAAACAACAATAATTATAGCTTAGCATTAAAAATATAATTTTGATTAAAGAGCTTCTGCATAGAAACATACAAAAATGTGGGTAATTATGAATACCTTTCATTTAGGGCAGCACTGGAATAAAACTTACATTGGGTGATGGTCTAATAAAGTTGTTAAGCACTGTAGATAACCTTCAAACCACTTTGTGTGTTCATTAGAGTGTTCATTACATTAAATGGTCTACGGAAAAAACATCTGTGATGCTGTTTAAACCTGGCATTAACATGTCAGCTAAGGACATGAGTGAATAGACCCAGTATACACTGACAATGCATTCAAATCAGATCGCTCAAACAATATGGGATTTGGACTGGGCTCAGTACTGGACCACAGTGTCTTCTGTGTAAGCACAATCTGTAGGTAACTGTTTATGCACTACTGGCGTACTACTCAAGTGTAAACAGACATATATCACCAAGATGTGTTTCAAGCATGTTTGGCATGTTTGACTGGGTTTTTCCTGAAACATGCCAATGAATAGACCTAATCTTGTTTTCTTCTTATAACTTACAACTATAGCAGAATAGGCACATGAAGTGCTTTGCTGCTTCTCACCAGTAAAGAAACAACTGGATACAAATGACAGATATATTAGATTCAATGACAATTGGTCACTGATGTAACTCAAAGATACATTCTAATCCTGTAGATGAACTGACATACTCTGAAGTGTCCACTTGTAAATACCCAGTGGACAGCGATAAAACCCATGTTAATGCCTTACAAATGATTTATATTAAAACCAGGGGGAATGAAACTAAACCTTAAGGTAGACGTCCTATCACCTATGCATTTATATGTATGTGTGCATGTGCATAAGACTCTTACTCTGATGTCATCTGAGCCACTGTTTCCAGTGAAGAGTAACCTCCTTCCATAAACAGTTCAGTGTAACGTCCCATCTTGATGGAGTCAAGCCACTCTCCTACAGTCTGGCTTTGAGTGCTACAGTTCCCTTCTACGCTGGCATGCTCCACTAACAGGTTGGAAACTCTGGAATGTGGGAAAACAGGTAAAGAGAAAGCAAAATGTTTGAACATGAGTCTTCATGAAGCTATTTATGCACCATTACACAACTGCAAATGTTGTCCACTCAAAAGTCTTTGTCATTTGGCTCACTCTTCATGCTTACAAATAAGGCTCTCTCTTATCAAACAGAAATATTTATGCCAACTAACAACATTCTCCACACTATAACTAGAAGAGGCGTGTGGTGTGAGAAAAGGACAAGCATAGCTTGAGTCATTTTAATCTTGACGCCCGTCATATGTCATTGTATGGCTGTTAGATAAGGTGTTGCTTTATTAAATGCGTTCCTGTGTGTGTTTGTGTGTGTGTGTGTGTGTGTGTGTGTGTGTGTGTGTGTGTGTGTGTACAAAAAGAAAGAGGAAAACAAAAGATCTACCATTATTTCATTATCTCCGCAAAGAAAATAACATAATGAAGTGTCTGCATAAATGTCTGCTTCAGAGCAATTATTGCCATTTCATACCATTATGTACTAATGCACTGCACATACATGGAGAGGAAATACTAACTGAATGTTCAAATGTTACGACAATCAAAGGACACCCCACTGACTACATTTCAGACTAATGCTTCATTCTAAGAAAATTAAGCCACTTTATTTCTCTGCTCTTTATTGCTAGTGTGCAGCAGCCAAAGACTACATTTTAACTATGCTGCTACACAGGACTTCAGTAAGACTCTATTTACATTTTATCTTGAAAGATGAAGTCTATTAGCTTAGAGTGCTGAGCCTAATTTGCTTAAAAATGAATGTGTAAATGAATACACTTCATTTTTAAGAGCCAAGAAGCAGAAGCATCATCAATAAGTGTTTAGAAATGTTTAACAGAAAGCTAACATCATTTCTTAACAAAGACAATAACACCAGCCATTTAGATGATATCATCTGTATGTGTGCGTGCTTGTGGAATAAACTATAACTAATATATATTTTAAATGGTGTGCAAAGTACAGTGTTACATCCTACCTGTGTGAGGAGTTGACAAGCTTTTTTAACGAGCTGGGGTTCCGGATGAATTTGTCTAGCAGGCAAACAATCTCATCAAACTTGGGACGGTTGCTGCGTTCTCGCTGCCAGCAGTCCATCATAAGATGGTACAGGGCCTCAGGACAGTCCATAGGACCTGGCAACCTATAGCTTTCCTCCACTGCTTTTATTACCTTCAGATAGAGAGATGAAGAAAGACAGGCAGGTTAGCTTTACAAAAGCAAACAAACAAAAAACAAACCTGTGTATAATGTACAAACAGTTATACTGTAAGAGCAAAAGATAAATTTCAATCATCTATGCGAGTAGCATAGCTAAAGGTTGCTTTAACTTCATGATTATTGTCTGATTGTAGAGTTTAGGAAGCAGTTTCTTCCTCCTCCCCTATCATCATCAGGGGAACAGATGTTGGGGTGACGGATGAATCCCTAGGACTACACATAAACAGCTAACTCGACTTGTACAGGAACACAGATATTGTCTTTAAGAAGGGTCCAGAGTTGCCTGTATCTTCTTAGGAGGCTCAGGTCCTGCAATGCCAAATGCCCATGCTGTCTATGTTTTGTTACTCTAAGGTTGGACATATGACTATATGGCAGTGTGTTGGGGCAGCAGGGTGAAAACAGCTGATGTCAGGTGTCTGAAAGGAGGTTGCTAAAGAAACTGCTCAGCATTATGTACAATCCATCCCACTATACATTCCTCTCTGATTGCTCACCACAGCACACACAGGAAAAGGCTCATTGCCCCAAGGTGCAGGACTGAGCACTACAGCAGATCCTTTCTACCTGTGGCTATTAGATTATCCAACTCCCATCTGTTTTGATAGTTCAAACACTGAAAATACCCCAAAAAGAGCAAAAAAAGCGAAAAAGAACAACTACACATTAACAACATTAACACTCTATAATACTATAATTTTATACCTTCTCATCTGTTCTTTACGAGATGGAAGGATTAGTATTACTACCATAGTATCACTTGTAATTTATTCTCTGTTATCACTTACTGCGTTTGCTGATGGCATTAATATAATTAACACTGTTCCACTTTGTGCCTATGCGCACTCCTGTACTGCTGCTGATACTTTTATTTGTGTTTATATGTCAAACTTTTGTCTTTGTGTCTTTATTTTTAGTAACTGAGATTTAGTTTGCTGTTTTTATGCTCTCAGTTTCTGTTCTTATTGCACTGAGCATGTAAAAGACACAATAATTTCAAAACACCATAATCAGGTTTGTTCAAAAGATTCTGGTATGCTGTCCCCGAGGAAATAAGACTCCAAAGCGACTATAAAATGAAAATCTATAACATGGATATATATTGAAGTATGCAGAGGGTACATCCTGTTTGGTGTATCCTGCAATATTTTTTTAAAGGCAGAACCATGACACACTTCAGCAAGGCAAGATTACTTTCAAATTGAGTTCTCCTGAGCAAGATCCTGAATTCTGATACTTGCTCTCTACCCGACCTTATACTCAAATATCCATGAAGTTAGCAACCCAACACCAATGGCCTGTGTGAATCCAGCAAAATAACACAACATTAACACAACTTTGTTTATTTCACATGCCTCATAACCCCATTAATCATTTCTGCAAGTAACAGGATGCAGTACTGAATCACAGAAATGTTTTGGTGGGGGAAATTGAATTGGATGAATAATAAATAAACCTTAGCTCCCTCCGTTAGACCCTGCAGTGGAAAGCAGGCTGCAGTTTTCAGCCTAGTTCTGCCAGTGCAAGACACTACAGGGAATTGATTTGTTGAGTTTATGACAGCCTTTACTTGTGTCAAATTCACACAGAAGACAGATGTGATGGCACTCCAATACGCTTGCATGTATTAAAGCGCATGCATATGTACTCTTGCACTCTAGCATAAGAGAGAAGCACAGCAGCAAATCACTGCGTGCTGAGGGGGTAGAAAAACTGACTGGCAGGGAGGAAAGATCAGAGGAAGGGAATGAGAGACGAAGTGGGGGAAGAAAGAGAGGGCGGACAAGACGCAAAAAAGTGCATTTTGTAGAGACAAAAAAAGGGACAAGAGAAAGAAGTGAGAAGGAAGAGGAGACAGTGGGCAACAGAAGGTGATAGCTGAGAGAAAGAGAGTGTGAGAGCCTGCACTTTCTTGTGCAGATCAGAGAAAATCCAGCATAACGCTTTCAATTAAACATCAAACGTCTTCTCCTCTCTTCTCCTTCTCATCCTCCTCTCCTTCCCCTCTCTAGATTCGAGACAGACAGCCTAACAACCAAAAGGAGGGTGGAGTCTGAAGTAGGAGTTGGAGAGGTCACTGGAGGGCTGTGCGTGCATATGTTGCCTGTGTGAGTGGGTGGGTGGGAAATTGATGCATGTGTGTGGTGATGAATCAAGTACTGCAAGCTCACGCATCACCATCTGATACGACTGCAGTTGTAAAATCCAGCAAATACTACATGCGTTACTCACAAGATTAAAGAAAACTAACTTTTCCTTAAAATGTCTTTAAAACTTACGTCTTGATTGGACATCTCCCAGTAGGGCCTCTCTCCGTATGACATCACTTCCCACATGACAATCCCATAACTCCACACATCGCTAGCCGAGGTGAACTTCCTGTATGCAATTGCTTCTGGAGCCGTCCAGCGAATGGGAATCTTTCCGCCCTGTAACAAAATGCAGTGTTTACCAGATGATCCAAACACATTGAAGCATTTAACGGAACCTGGGTCTTGGAAAATAGAACCTCAAATTTTCGTGTGTTGTGCTGCTTTATTATGAAGAAATCTGATATGTTCACATAAATAAATAGACTCGAGCTACGCTTGTCCAGAGCTACAGCAGTAAATACAGCTGCCGTCATTCAACATTTTCATCTTTTGTGTCATGAGGATGGAAACCAAGAACAGACCTTAATTGAGACACTTCTTCCGCATGTGGTCCAATCCAAATTTCCCCTAATGGATACCAATTTAGGAACACATTCATGATACCAAGTTTCACTTTCTTATACAAATTCCCTATCCTAACTGTCGGGGGCCCTGTGATTCCTCTATTTTTTACTCATCTTCATTATCATGCTTTCATTGCAAAGATAAAAAAAAAAGTTCACAGAAAGACTGCTGAGTTCCACAGGAAAGTGTGTTTTCAGCTGATGAGTAGTGAAATTAGCTTGATGCAGTATTGATGAACACAGCAGCAGGATATCTCAAGCTCTGATTATTTGAAGGGTGTGAATTATGTTATTCTCACTGCTCTGTCAGGGAAGGAGACCCAGACAGTGATAGAGAGAGAGAGCAAGAAGAGATGTAGCCTGGCAGTGAGAGGTGAGTGACAGGATATTTGGCACTAAGGCAGCAAGACTCAGTGCTAATTGAGTGTTGCAGAGACTGAGCTGAGTACTAATTGGACCTCCTCCAGCAGGAAGCAGGCCATCTCTGGCTGACAGAACGCCACTCAGCCTGGGATATACAGCTCAATTTAAGGCCTGCTGCTGTTGTCTGTGTGTGTGTGTGTGTCAGTGTGTGTTAGTTAAAGTGTCTAGGTGTGTATTTAGTGGGAAGACTATTCTGTGTGTCAGTTTTTCACTTAATCCAAAGTTTGATAAGGCAGAGTCATGCTCTGACACAACCCATATTAAATGTAAATAACTTTAAAGACAACAGTGTGCTGCCCTCTTCCCTAACACCCACACTGAGGCAGTCAGGTGATTAATTTATTAGTTGATCAAAAGAAAATTAAGTGAATGCTACTCGCTTGCATGCACCTTTTAAATATCTTTGCTCTGATATATATTACAGTCTTATGTAATTTAAATTGAACAGACTTTGGGCAGTTAGCCTGACAAACAACTTTAAGATATGTAATAACCACTGGCTTCAGAGATTTGTGCAGCTTTACCCGCGTGGTATATGCAGCCTCCGGATCATCTTCCAGGACTCGGGATAGACCAAAATCAGACACTTTACACACAAGGTTACTGTTGACCAGGATGTTACGAGCCGCTAGATCACGGTGGACATAGCCCATGTCAGACAGGTATCTACATTTGTCAACACAAAGGGAAGAAAGGTTAAACACAAACACTGCACGTTAATGAGTTCGAAAACACAGTGTGTTTGTTGGTTTTCTTTATACCTCATGCCAGATGCAATCCCACGCAGCATACCAACCAGCTGGATTACAGTAAACTGGCCATCATTTTTCTATGTAGAAAGAAGGGACAAAGGTGGAAAGACAATCTTAATATTTTGCTTTGGTATCTTTATCTAAACAATTGAATATAGTGTAAATAAATCGAGTCTATAATGTATCACATACGATGTACCACATATGTATTAACAAAAAATAACACGAATAGAAATGAAGACATAAACAGATAAACCTTAAAAAATGGGGCCTATAGAGAGTTTATAGAGCTGGCCTTATAAAAGCTGCCAGACAGGACAGGATAGTGTAACTCTATATATGTCTGTGAAGGTTCTCAGTCATCCAGGTCATCGCAGTCTAAGGAGCTTGGAAAGAAAAGCGTCTGGAAGTTGCTTGAAGACGTTTCACCTCTCATCCGAGAAGCTTCTTCAGTTCTAGGGTCAAATGGTGGAGAGTCCCAGATTTAAACCCAGTGGGAGTATCCCCCCAAGAGGGACAACTCTATATATGCACCACATAATAATAATAATAAAACATGTGAACATTTCTGACTTTATTTTGATAGGGACAGTGGGAAGAATGGCAGAAGTAAGCACAGGGGGGGATGACATTTAGCAAATGCTACCCAGGCAGCATCTGCACAAATTATTTACCCATGTTGTATCGAACTTTAGCACTTAACTACTGGTCAACCCTGTATATGTTCTGTTGATTTTAAACCGTGTAAACCTGCAGACCTGGGCCAATTACAAGATAATATAAAGAAAGATGGGAAAAGGCTCCTTTTCAACTTCTCCCCCTGGATTTTGTCAATGGCTGTTATGGTGCCACTGCAGCAAATGTTGGGATTACTTTTTCTGTTTTTCTCTAACACCTACCAACCAACAGCACAGGTTGTGGATCGTGAAGCAGGAAGAAAGATTAAAAGCTGAAATATATTCTCCAGTATTGGTTTGGTTGTAGCCACATAATCACTGATCAATACAGATCTGATTAGCCTATTGTGTCAGCAAGGCAAGTCAGCTTATCTAACCCTAATGCTCTAGTTTTATGTGATAATTATAGAGAATATCCATAAGCACTTTACTCTGAAAATACACTTAATTTACATTTATATATTTCTAGTATTTAGCTCTGGAGCTCACCATTTTCCCTCTATAAGTGTCAGTGATGGTCATCCAATCAACTATGCACTTCAAGTCAGACCTCCTGCTCTATGAAATGACCTAAAGCATTAATATTTCCATGAATCCTGCCCAGAGTTCAGTGTCACCCGGCTGCCTTGAATCACATCATGTTTTATGAAATGACTGTCTCCTGTACAGACGCGTGTCTCCCCAAGTAATTCATCTTTCCCCTTCCTCCCTGCAATACCCGACTTAACCTTTCTGGTACTCTCCCAATCTGTATAGAAGAATGATGCTAAATCGGTTGTTCAAGATTTGAGAAAAATGAAGCATGCTTTTTGCCAAAGAAATAATTAATTCAAGCAACAGCATTGGATGACAATATTAGCTTAATTACTAAGTGGTAAGGTATTACCACTTAGTAATTAAGCTAATATTGAAAACTGCATACACAGTGATGGCTTTTTCCCTGGTATGGAAGACTCTTTCACTAGATTTCCTCTTAGCTTTTTCCCCTCTCATTGGTAGGCTCTCATTGTTAGTTTAAGCTTTTGCTCCTTCCAATCCAAATGTAAACTATCAACATTCCCCTCATCCACTCTTCACATTTTGACAGCAGACATGCAGCTCACAGTTTCAACAAATAGTTTTTTCTATCCACTCGCAGCAGAACATCCCACTTACATGTGAAATGAGATGTTAAGCCAAAGATGTGAGTTAGCAGCCTCACAGTACATTGTCCATAGCTGTGACAGCTAATCCAGGACCCAGTCCAGCCTCTGGTTTTCAAATAGCTGTGTCATTTATACTGGCCTCAGTACACCAGCCATCCATGTAATTACTTCTAAGGGTTTTCTGTGCTGCACCGTCTGCTGGTGGCCCATCTTCCCTGCTTCCACTTTGCCATTCAGGTTTATTCCCCATGACACACAGGACAGTCATATCAGCAGTTTTCACTCACCACAGCTCTGTAACACACACTTATCTGTATTTTTTGTCTCACAGCATCCCCCTTTTCCATGCAGCCAAAATGAGATCATTCCCTTCAGATGAGATTTCTGATTGTTCCTGTCTGCAATGCCTTTCAAGCAAGTAAACCGACACCTCAAACCAGAAGCATTTTACTCTCCCCTTTCCTCCGTTGTTGTTGTTTTTTTGTTTTTAAAAAAACACTTTAACTCTCTTCAGTGCTGAATCCTGATTGAATCTTATGTATTTCATCTCTTCATTAGCAAGACTCTTGAAGAAATTTATAGTTTTTCTCATGCAGGAATTAGACTTGTCTGCTACCTGAGCGTTGTGCCACTGTAGGCAGTGAACAGACTGTTAAGTGGTCTGAAGAGGGAATATTTATTTCAGCCTGCCTCTTCATTAAATTCCACATTCTACTCGCGATGAAGGCAGTACTTTCATTTACGCAGGAAAGGCATTATTCCAACTCTGAAGGCTTAGTGACTTTATATATTCTGGTGAGGTGATCTGTGTCATAGTAAAGGTGAGAAAGCATTTCAATATTTAAATGTGCCTTAAATCTGCCCCATGCAGATGAACTCAGATTCTCTGATTATTCACTACTATTTTGTGTTTCTCATCATGTTATCTTCCTTCCTTGACCTTATCAATGCAGCTGGCCTCTCCAATTGTCTAACCAGGGTCTCCTAACTGTCTCTCATTCTGATTTTAAAACCAGCTGACCGTGCTTTTGAGGTTGTTGCACCCAAACTGTGAAACAGACTTCCTCAGTCAGTCAGGTCAGGCGACTCTTATTTGTTTAAAATGACTACTGAAAACTGTGTATAGGTTAGCGTTCCTTTAATTTTACCCTTTAATTTTTTGCCATAATTTGCGACTTTTTGCATGTATGTTGAAATGAAATCCTGACCGTATGCCTGTGTCTGCATGTTTGAACATGTATACTTATCTTCAATTTGTGGCTTTTATTTGAACTGTGAAGCGCTTTTTAACTCTATGTTTTGAAAAGTGCTATACAAAATACATTACTATTAGTAGGAAATATTACTTTCATCGCCTGAACAGCTGTTATAAAACCTGCTTTAACTGCCATCTTTCTGTTATGAACCACTGTTGTCTCAATGTGTGCACCACTGTCTGTTTCCAGCATCCTTCAGTCCATTGAGATGTTACAGACAACACTAAAACTGAGATGATATAATTTCTTGTTAATGAAGCTACGAATTCTGCTTAAAAAACTTTTTGGAGATTTTTGGAGAATCAGAGTGGGTTTGTATTTTATCCAGGGTCGTTTTTTAAGTATTTCTTCCCTCAGACCCTTCTCCTGTATAGTTTACCTTGAGAAAAGTGTCCAATGAGCCATTCTCCATGTATTCTGTGATGATCATCACCGGCTTGCCTGAGAAGAAGAAAAAAAAAATCAACAATAAAATGCTTCACGTTAATAAGCAAATATTTTGAAATCATAGTTTTGACATAAGATTTTGTTTTTACCATTTATCTAGATAGCAACACAAAATAAAATATCCTCTAATGATCTAATTCCAAAGTTTATATTATATACAAACAAAACAAAAAAATAGAATAAGGACATACCATGTGTGCCAATTTTTGCTTGAAATATGGCTTACTTCTCAGTTAAAATAATCAATTCTTTATCTGACTTTGTGCATGCAATTTTCCAAAATTTAAACTGAGATGTAAACATTTGTACGCATGAGAACAACCCTTAACAGCAACTTATACGGTGGCCCTGAGAGGCCAAACGGACTGCAGAAAACACCAGCAATAAGAAAAACACTGCAAAAGCACACAAAACACAATGGAAATAGAAAAAATGAAAACGGAAACTGGAAAAAAGAAAACACAAATAGAAAAAAACAAAAACAGAAATAGAAAAAAACTGATTTCCAAAAGCGCAAGGGAAGTGTTTCTGGGGAGACAATAATCTGATGGACCAGGTGCAGGAACCAAAATATGCTAAGAATTGTGCTGGGAGACACTTAAAAGAAGTGGAGGATCTATCGGTTTTGTGAGGAAAGAAAAGATGAGAGGTAAGTGTGTTAGCCTAACTATTAGCCTAAAAATCCATCATTAGTATTATATGAATCATGAGATTAAAACACACACTCTGTCTCCCCAGAAACACTTCCCTTGTGCTTTTGGAAATCTGTTTTCTCCTATTTCCATTTTCGTTTTTCCTTTTCTGTTTTTTTCCCCTATCTCCGTTGTGTTTTGTGTGCTTTTGCATCATTTTTCTTATTGCTGGTGTTTTCTTAAGTTGCCTGTTTGGCTTCTCGGGGCCACCATAAACTTAGCAGCTAGATCAACACTCAGTTATGCAAAAAAGAAAAAAGAAGAAGAAAGAAATATGTTAATCTTCATGAAGGTAAAACAGATTATAGGGTTGAAATTGAATTGTCAGCTTTCCAGTTGCTTTCAAAAGTTAATATATTAGATACTGTTGAACTTGACAAGCAGACTATGACATTAACTAAGTGTAAGTCAGAAAAAAAGTTGAAAAGGAAAACCTGTTAAACTACAGGACTGATTAAGTACAGCATGCAAGTTTAAAATGACATAGCAAGGCTTAAGATTCCTATATATCTACACCAAACAACTGCTGTGAGTTTTACTTACATTGTGACATCCAATATGTGCTAGATCCTACAGGATGCAGTTTCACACAAAACACAGTGTATTAAACTTAAATAGTGATACACATGCTGATAACTCACTCTTAGTAACCACACCCTCCAGACGGATGATGTTTGGGTGGTTAAACTGGCCCATGATTGACGCCTCCCAAAGAAAGTCACGTCTTTGCTGCTCTGTGTAGCCTGCTTTCAAGGTCTTAATGGCAACCTGGATCTCTCGTTTCCCGGGCAGCCTCAGCGGTCCACTGCACACTTCACCAAATTCCCCTGAGGGAAAAAAAGGTAGACATTAAGAGTGGCATCAACATTTCAGTTAAACCTGACCTGTAAAAACTATTATGAAATGGCAAATCAACCTTGAAGATACAGATAGATTTTCTTTAAGTAAAGCTGAAATTTTGTGCCTGACACACTGTGTTCGTACAGCTTATATTCTTTACTTTAAGGGGCCAATCTTGAAATTGGCTAAAGCGCTTGAAGCTAATAAATGTGGTCAGTCAAAATTTTTGTCAGTGGAAACATTATTTATGTCTGTGCACAATGTTGCTTTTAAGCACACTCTTAACTTATGCAAGCTTATGCAATTATGAATGTGACAGGTTTATGAAGGTTGTAGAAAATACGATACACTGCAGTAGTGTTAATGAGAAAATGTTTCAACACTACAGAAGGCAGAATTAGGCTCGAGTCATTATGCTATTAGTCTGTGTTTTAATAAGGCATTTTGTGACGTTAAGCTGTTTCAGGGCACCGATTAAACAGGTTTACCTTTGTGGTTCTGAATTAAGGATAACACAGACAGGCTTAAACTGATGCTCCAAATATGAAACAGTGGATCTCCAAGGTGTACACACACAGATGCAGACATTATTTTTTACCCACCAGCACCAATGATCCTTTCAATGGAGATGTATGAAACGTCAATCTCCTGGGCAAATTCATGCACTGCCTGGTTGGGATCTTCATAGGTGAGGGGATCGATATAAGTACGCACCCCTGGAAATTTTACTGCAGAAGCACACACAGAGCAACATTATTATTTGAGTACAATAGATTCATACGCCTAAAAAAAAGATACATGTATTAATTAGTGCCATTAATTATTCCCAGAAGACAACCATCTTTTCATCCATCCTGCAAATTTGGCATGCAGATAATAAACGCTAATTTTAAACATTTTATTTCACAGTCCAAATCAATATAACACTATCCCACATGGTATTATTTTCCTGACTACTCTGGAGTTGATATACCAATCACAGTTGGCTTTGATTCCATACCAAAAGATGGATAGAGGGTGTCATGCCAAAAATGTGGACAAATATATTAAGCTGTCACAATCTATAAGTCATCATAGCTCTATGTGTTGTCTGCCAACTGTGTGTTTGCTGGTAGCTATGAGCCTGGTTTGTGGCAGTGCCATTCAGTGAATAGCTACTCTAGCAAAACACTGTCAACTGTACTTATAGTACGCACATGCCAAAGGAGATAGCATGACCAGACATGACCGCTGTGTGAACCCTGTACTGTACATGTACTGTAAACTTTGGATGAACTTAAGCCCACATACATAGACACATACAGAACGAGTCTGGGCTTTAACCTACTGTGGCCATTGTGGAAGTGCATCTTTTCCTCTTCGGGATCTTGCTTTGCTTTGCTATAGCCACAGCGCCTAAGGAAGAAGTGATCCAAAAACATTAGTGTCAATGTCATGTCAAAGTGCTGTTAAATACACACATGTAAAGTCAGCGACTAAGCAATGTTGTCAAATGATACTTGTCTCAATGACACATACACTGAGGGGGAATAACTAAATCTGATGATATTTCTCAGAATGGGACTTTTATTTTGAAATAGCGCAAGTATTTTAACATTTATCACCGTCTCCAAGGTAGACTGAATGAATTCCGGCATTAATGCAGTTTGAGATGAAGGCAGTAAAAAAGAAATGATCCCTGTGGTTTCCTCTCAAAGTGATATCATTTGGCAACTATTTCCTAGTACAAACTAGTACAAAAACACAGGAAAATATACTTTTTGAATAGTGATCTCACAAAATAGCCCAAGCAAAGAAAAGCAAACCCTGCCACCTCCCCCAAGAATCTAAGTGCAAAATAAGCTTTATATTTTCTCACTGAATCTGCTAACCCATCTTTTAAGGTTTTCAAAAATATTGCTGAAAAGAAAAGATGTCAGCAAAGGAATGCAGTTTCCACAAAATATCAATAACCAAGAAAGCCCTTCTCGACATATCAACTCTGACTTTTGCAACAGGAAAAAGAGATCTGTCACTTTTTAAGAAAGGCCAGACTGAAAACAGAACTTTTGAAACCGCAAGGCTTATGTTTATGTCTATATCATATTCTTTTCCATTATGTCTGTGTAAGCCTGGTGGATTAAACCGACATTCATTTGTATGTTTGTGTGTTTGTGCTTAAAACGCTTCTATAAGTCAATATTTTTACAACTGGCATCAGAGATAATCACAGATAACCCAGATTAAACATGTGTAATGAATTTAAACTTGATCCTATATGCAAACACAAAAACACACCACGCAACGAACAGATACAGAGTAACTAATTAAAATATCTGCAATGTAAATTTACTGTTTTATTTTAGTCATTTGTCAAACAAGTATTTTTGATGGTAGAATTTTTCCTATCTTTTAGTTCTTGAAGACAGATGAAGACACGCACACACACACACAGCGGGGCCATGTCCAAGTCTTTCCCATCGGACCTCTCTGTAGGGTAACCAGGCTTGGCTAGAGGGGTTTGTATGGGCAGCTGGAGAGGGTTGACTCTGTGTGTCTGTATTTGTGCGTGTGCGTGTTTTGTGTGTCTGCCTGGAGGGTGTTTAGTTTGCTGTATTTGTTGAGTCAAGGGGTTTGAGCATGCCCTCCAACTTCATGCATGTGTTTGCGTGTGTGCGTACATGTGTGTTAACCCATGCATACACCAGTGCGTATGTGCTAGGCTCCACACATGTGTTCTGTGCACGTGTGTGTAGTCTGGAGAGTCATGTATGAGTGGGTGTGTGGGAGATGCATTGGTGGGAGGGGGTTGTGGTGCTTGTGCCCTAAATCCATCGTTGGAAAATTTGGCATTCTTCCATCTCTCCTCCCCCACACACAAAACCCCGGAATGATCCGCAATCCTCATCTCTGAATTTCTGAATTCTTTCCAACATCATAATTTTATGTTCAACATTAAATACAGTTTTTTAAAATTGTGCATTTACCAAACCTAAACTGTTTAAATGATGACCTAATACTGAAGGAGAGAAGAAAATTTCGTAAATGAAGCAACAATATGCATCTGGGAGAAAAACGAACATGTATTTTCATTCTTAGAAAACCTCAAAATATAGTAGAGAAACTGAAATGTGAGCTTTGACTTAACTACCCTGAAGAAACAGAGGAATACACGAGTTCTAATGATTTTTTTACTCTGGCTTTGACTATTTTCTCTACTGTCTATTATCACTCCGTCTGCAGTTTTGTGTCTGCACGTGGGGAACATTCTTTCATAATTAAAAAAATTTGACTTTACTGATAAAGTGAAGGTCATATGCACATGGGGGCATGCGAATGTGACAGACTTGTAGACTGAAAAATGGTAAATGCTTATGAGCAAGGTTGTGCTACCAGATGTGAGGAAAATCCACTTGACTGATATGAATCCAGCCTGTAGTTATAACCTAAAAAGCAACCCTTAATCCTGACCTATCACAAAAGTCTTACTTCAAGCTATGTGTCTAATCCCATAATGCTGCTCAACCACAGAGAAATATCTGGGACAGAAACGAGATTTACTCAGCATAAGGTCAGAAATGGATAAAGTGATGAGGGACCATTATTGAACTAACGTACAATATTGTACATAAAATAAACAGAGAAGAATATGCACTATTATCTGCTTTATTTTATTTTTTTTTAAATAAGGAGAAAATAAGAAAAAATTGTCTTTGACCTCTTGGACCTCTTTTTTTCTTCTTCCATTGAACATTTCAAATTCTTAAACTGCACTTTCATAGTCCAGTAACAACAAACTTAACCTCAGCATTAAACTTCTCCATCTAGAGGTTAGCGCAGTGGAACATCTGCCTACATTTGACCCAATCCCATAAGCTTCCTGTACCATTCCAACCCTTTGCATGTCCTTCTTCACTAGATCCATCAAATCTCTCTGTGGTCTTCCTTTTCCCCCTGCTTGGGAGCTCCATATTCAGCATCCTTCGCCTAATATCCACTATCCTTCCTCCTCACGTTCAGGCGATCTCAGCCTTGCTTCTCTAACTTTGTCTCCAAACTGCTCAATCTAAGCTGTCCCTTAAAATTAAAATGAAATGAAAGATCATACCTATGCTTCTTCATGAAAGAAGCAAAAATGTGAATGAAACATACAATCCAACTGGCATCTGGAGAAAATGTCCTAGAAAATGTCCAAGCCTCATCTTCTGAACCCAACTCAGGGCTCAAACACATGAAAACATGCATAATGTACGTAAACATACTTATTTATTCCTGATATCACAATTAATTACTGACATGTGACTTTCCCGTCTAATCAACAACAGCTGGTAATAAGTTAACACCATGCCAGATAATTTTAGGCTCGAGTGTCAAAAATATCACACTTTCATGCTGATAAACAGTTTGATTGCCTTCTCACATTTTATTCAACAATGTTTGAGCCACTCCAAAAAAGTTTTACTAATGCCACTGACAGGAGCCAACACCGTCAAAAACAACAGCACTTGCCACCAGAAAAGTTCAGGATATCCTCAACAACTCAACACAATATCCCTGTCATCAGACAACAGCGAGCTTCGCTGACTCATCAACTGCTGTCGGACTCCTATCCCTAAATTTTACAGCCACCTCAAGTCCAGAGCTGTTTGTCCTACAGTGACCACCGTAGTTAGGATTATGCAGGTAAATTGGGAAGAAAACAGAACTCCGTTGACTGCAATCTACTGACATCTACTGGTTAGATTTTACAGACCGTAACTTTAATTCAATATTTCCAGTAACAGGAACATTATTAAAAGTAACACAGTAGCACTCTCATGCTAATATTTTGTATTTGTTTTTATTGCCATGTGCATGTGCGTGTATATTGGTGATATACACGCACATGCACATGGATATACTTTTATATCATATTTTCTTTTGCAGGTATATAGGTTATGCCTTACCGCCCACTGAGCAGGAATCCAGCAACCACTGCCAGCAGGACCAGAGCCAGTGTGATGGCCACCGCTACTATCGAAGCTTGAGCACGCTCACTAGTAGCAGTTACTGCCAAAGACAAGACATGGGATTACACACAGTACACAAACACAAAACCACACCTGGCATCTGTTGTTGATACAGCCCCAGAACACAGGTGGGAGTTGTGTACAAGTTAAACTTCATTGTATTGTCATTCTCTCCTTCTCTTTGGTGTACTCACAGTAAGGGCTGGTCTGGAATTCAAAGCGCCGGCTAAATGCACCATAGCCTGCTGAGGTCCTGGCTCGTACCTGTAATGCATCATATCATTCATGCACCATACTTCAATTTAATTCATTTGGATTTGCTTGATCTTAGGCAATACTGACAAACTATTTTGTCATTGCTACATATTTAAATATTTTTTCCTTCCCTTTTGTCATCCAGTTCCATTATCATTCTCTTAATTTGTGAAACCCATTTCTGACCTGGAAGATGTAAGCTGAAGAGGGCTTCAGGCCTTCCACCACCATTTCAGTATCCTTGGATTTTATTATTGTGTAACTGGAGTCCTGTTCCTTTAGTTGAAGAAAGAGAATGTTAGCTTAATTTATTCATGTGTTCTACTAACATTTTTGTACTTTTGATTGTCAAAAATGTGTTGCCCCAATAATTGTATTGCCAAATTGTATGCATATAGCTTATTGCTGCTTTCTCTCCGCAGCTACCTGTGGTATATGCGAGCATGAGTGTGTCTAAATGCCTGTGTGTAGGGATCACTTTTCCAACTGTAACCACATCAGGTTTTAACTCAGCTAAATGCTGCCTCCATTAGCCAGATGCCATTAGCTCACCACTGACCACAAACCCTACCCTGCTCTCCAATGTACCTTTATTGTGACCTTAGAAAAGAAGACATCAGAGGATTACAGGCAGAAAAGAGGAAGGGCACAGGAACAATGATCTGCACAGAAGCATCAAATTGCTGTCCCTACTTAAGTCCAACTTAACAAAAAAGGGGGGAAAAAAAGCTATTATGCTGTTACAAAGACTTTTGAAGTCAAAGTTTTCTCACTGGACCCGGCTTAAAACACAATTTCAGTAAGATACACACATCTGTAGCTGTAACAAATTAGGTGTTACAGGGCAAAGGGGAAGTGCTGCTAGAGGTTGTTCAAGCATGGTCAGTTTCTTATATATGGTCAGTTTCTTATATATATATATATATATATATATATATATATATATATATATATATATATATATATATACTCTTAAAAAAGGCCAGATACAACCAGTGTCACTAGCTATGTACTTTGAAAATGACATTTATCAACAGAAATGTTTATATGATGTGTGTGTGTCTGTGGACTAAAGTCAATATGATATCTATTGTACAACTAAAAGCAAAAGCTTGAACAAGAATAGCCCTACAAATGAGTTTTCTGTTGTATAGTACATTTAATTTCATAGTACATATTGTTCAAAACTGTATACATTAAAACACTAAACTGGAAAACCAGTGCTTTTAAAACTGAAACCTCTACTGTACGAGAGGTTCAGGGAGGTACTAGGAAAACACAGCTGGCCCAAGGGCAGTAGACAAAGGTACACAGCTTTGTGAAAAGATTTTTACCTTTTCAAAATACTTGATCTCATACTCTAGGATGATGCCGTTGGGACGATCAGGCTCTGCCCAAGAAAGGGCAATGCTGCTCTTCCCTGTATGACCTTTCCTCACCACACTCACAGGGGACGGTGCTGCAGAAACCAAGATTCAAAGAAAATAGTACGGTTTGAAGTATCAACATAAATAGCACAATCCAGCAGTTAAATATGATGCAACCCATTGCACTTCTCACTGCATTTCACATTATTAAAACTAAATAACACAGGCATAAAACTCTAATAAACCGTGGCACAAAGGCACGTGGCAAAGTGTGCCAATGTTGTAAAATCTGCTGGATCCCATCAGCATTCACAAGACATCATTCTTTTGAGGACACCTCATCCATTGATGTTTACATGCACATAACTAATTGTCATGCATGCTGTGATTGCTGTAAATCATGAAAAATTTAACTGTAGATTAAAAAACCTAAAGAGGATTTTAAATTTGGCGACAATAGGAAGAGGTTTTTCATGTAACAACTTACACAGTAACGGATATCTATCTTTGCTGTTTGGTGATTTCTTTCAAAGACATAATTTGCCATGTTTTTTCTTATGAGTTTCATGTTTGGAATTTAGGCTCCTCTCTGAGGTTGTTTGCTTTTGTCTGTCAAGCTCCAGCTCAAAAAATGTTATTTTTGGTTACCAAGCAGCTCTGCCTCAGAAGCATGTTTGCAATTTGGCAACAAGGTGCACCTGTGTCTAATTAAACCATCCCTTTATGTCTTGCTGCTGGCTGAGCATGTGCTGCCAGAGAAGCATATGAATTCAACTGTTTAAGTCTTCACATTTGAGTGTCTAGTGTACCAAATTTGGCACACATTAAAGGTTACGAAATACACTGTAAAACTCTTCTAATGTAGAATCAACACAAACAACAAAATAACGACATAAATGTGTCACTTTTATGCACAAGATATTTGTGTATTTCGTTCTTTTCTTTGTATTTCTTTAAAGCTTATATTTTCATTTATGTCTTTTTTCTGTCATTTATCCTTTCAGTTTTGAAGTGAGCTTTGTTCTGCAAGTTTACATCAATTGCAAAGCCATCCTGGTGTAACCTGATCTATTGGTTCATCTCTCAGAGGGACAATTGGAGAGTCTCTGACACATAAAGAGCTTTTAACTAGGCAAAATGCTCCCTCAGGCAACATCCCTATAGCCTGTGTGTGTGTGAATGTTGATGCGCGTGGATGTGCATGTGAATGTGTGGCTACTGCAAATGCTAAACACCGTTTAGGTTTCAATGGCCTCAGCAGAAGTCCACAGAGAATAAATCATCGCTACAAACACAGTAACTGTATCTTGAGTGGATGGTTGCACAGAAGTGTTATCTGGAATATCTTAAAAGCCTGAAACCAGAGACCGAAACTCACACACATACACACACTCAATGCTTAAATGGTATAAAGCCTGGATTCAATGATGAGAGAGAGGGTTTATTTTCCCAGCAGCTTTATGGGTAACAATACACCAAAATCTAAGTTTACACCCTCCAAAAATGGATGCAGTTTTCCATTCTATATTTAATCAAATGTTTTGAAAAGGATTTGTAAAGAGGGTACAGCCTTTTACCAAAGCTAGTGATTTTTAGGGTTATATAAATCATTCTTAGATTTGAAGTAGGGATTTTGTCTCAAAATTGTCATCAAAAATGTTGTCAAACATTATTTTTCACAAAGAAACAATAAGGACACTAATTATAGAGGTTACGTTCCTTTAATGCCTTTAAAATCTTTATTTATCATCATAATCCATCCATCCTTCCATTTTCTTCCACTTATCTGTGGCAGGGTCGTGGTGGAAGCAGCCTCAGCAGAGAAGCCCAGACCTCCCTCTCTTTAGCCACCTCCTCCAGCTTGTCTGGGGGAACACCAAGACGTTCCCAGGCCAGCTGAGAGATATAATCTCTCCAGCATTTCCTGGGTCTGCCCCGGGGCCTACTCCCAGCGGGACATGCCTGGAACACCATACCCAGGAGGCATCTAGGAGACATCCTTGTCAGAAACCCGTTCCTCCCAATCATGCCACTCCAGGTCTCACTGTCATTGCCCACATGAGCTTTGAAGTCTCCCAATAAGGCGACAGAGTCCACAGGGGGAGTACCCTCAAGTACCCCACCGAGGGACTCCAAGATGGCTGGGTACTCTGTATTGTCCTTTGGCACATAAGTGGCTCATCCGGGTGGTGAGCCTACAAGAGGGTGGACCCATGTCTCTTTTTCGGGTTGTGCCTCGCCGCGCCCCATGGACTAAGGCCCAGGCACCAGGCACTCACCGTTGGGCACCCTTAATGGACCTGGCTCCAGGGCTCCAGGGCAGGCCTCGGTAACCCTATCCCAGCCAGGGTGAACTGTTTCCTAGATCTTTCAATCATAGGGATTTTTGAATGACTCTTTTTCTGGTCCCTCACCCAGGACTAATTTCCCATGGGAGAGCCTACCAGGGGATGAAAGCCCCTTGTCAACATAGCCCCTGAGATTACTGGGACACACAAATGCCTCCACCACGACAAGGTTGCAAACTCGTAATTCTTAAAAAATAATTTTTCTGTCAATTTAGACAAACTAAAACTGTTGACTTTTTCTAGACTATAATCCAAACTATAGCCATTCCTATTTTAGTTAGTTGGAAGTATGTGCAAGCTACTTTTCATGCTTTCACTGAGCTGTTGCTTTACTTAATGCAAAGTCGGTTTACATTTGAAGCACACATAAAAACAGGAAATGTTGGTCTGCGGCAAACACAGCGATTAAACACTTTTTGGCTCACTTGGTTCTGTCTCTTCCTTATCACCAAATACAGATATATACAATATCTGTATATACCAAAATAGCACTCACACTCAAACAAGTGCTTTAAAACCCAGATTTTCAATCGAGACAGAAGGAGAGGTAATAGAAGAGAGAGACGGGGAGGAGGAGGGAATGCAAGAGGCAAAAAAAAGTGAAAAATGAAAGACGAGGAGGAGACATGTTGAAAGAGTGTAGACGGGACCCAGCAACACTTTTATTTTAACAACGGGGTAAACAGTGTAATGACACTTCTAGCTTTAAACACTTCCACTGCGTGTTATAACTGCTAATGAGCACGTACAGTATGCCAATGAAAACGCAAATGAAGATGAACTCCTGGTGTTTATGCCTGGTGGCTGGTAATGCTCTATTTGCTATCCGTCTGATACTTTTTTTTTCTACAAAGAGTGAGTTTAGAAAAGGTAAAACCCATTCACTGGAGGAATACAGCTATCCAATGTAACAAATAAAAGCAACATTATCACAGTGCTAAACATAAATCTCCCAGACCACTATCTGTCTGCACATCACCAAAATCAATACCGGCTTTCAACGATCTCGTTTTTATCTTATAACTACCCTCTCGGAATGACTGATAGATAGATTGAGACAGAATGAATTGGAGATAGGGGACAGAGATGTCTTCACTAGGGTTGCAAAGTACAAAAACTGCTATCATCTATTTTGCGAGGAACTTTAAAACTTTAATCTGCCTTTTCTTTTGATGCAATACATTCGATTAGTGGCTTTGCACCAATCCAGCATCTTGCCACAATCCACTTCCCTATCAGCACATCAATATTGACAAAAAAATATAATAGCTGGAATATTTTAATTGTGGCTTGGAGATTTAATGCTGTGACCATAAACTGCTCCAATTTGGTGTATTTACAGAATTTGCATTTGTACCATTCCCATCACTCTCCCTTTATTTTATAACATTTATTTATTGTTGCTGGATTAATTAGGATATAAATGGGTTTTTTTTTTAATTAGAGGAAGTAAATGAAAATTAATGCACAAACAACTGAGCTATTGGTGCCTTTCTATATTTTGACAATACACACCACACTTATAAGATTCAGTTTCCTAAGTTATATGTTAGAAGGCTTTTTGTTCCTTTTAAACCACTAAATCCTTGAGTTAACCTTCACGACCTTGGTGGATGTTAGCCAATTTGAATGGATTGTTAAAATAAACACACTCTACAACCCTACAAATCTTTTATCTAAATTCATTTAGTACTTTTTGAGCTATCATGTATACAGACAGAAAGAATGCAATGCTACCAACAATATAACCTCTTTGCTAAGATAGTGTTGGGATTGTTGGGAGCCACAATGTTGGGTGAAGAAATACTATGTTATACCTGTCAAACAGTGTGATCTATGGCATTAATCATAGTTTCAACTAAAGAAATAGAAACAAATGATGTGTTTTTGCAACAAAGTGTTCGGAACAAAGTGATTAAAGATACAATTTAAAGTTATGTGTAGAGAAAACGCACTGGCTCATACCTTGAGTTGGGTGTCTTTTGATAATTGAATGACTCATAGGTCAGTGTAAGTGGCTTACAAACAAAAACGATATTCATATGAAAATAGTCATGCACAAGGACTGAATGGGAAGTCTGTCTCCCTGTTAGAAACATCTAAAGAAATGAAAGGTGGTTCAAGACTTTTGCACAGAATTGCACGCTCCACATCAAAGTAAAATAAATAGCTGCAGTGGCAGGCAGCACATTTTTACCACACACAAGCTAATGTATCATGGTACATTTGATTAATAGCCAATAGCAGAAAAAACGTATTTGGGAGCATTTACTGTGCAAGTGGCACTCAATGTGCCTACAGCAGGAACAAATAACCTGAAATAAGATATTTTAAAACAGACAGAGCTATCCTAATAAAACAAAGCTGTAAAACTTGTGCTTATTAAATAAAAAAAGAAACTATTTAGATTTCAAAGCTTCCTTTTTGAGTGTGTAGAAAGAGCAATATGCTAATTGTTTCCACTCAAACATTCATCAATGTCTGAGCAAATACAGAGCTTAAAATGTAACATATGGGAAACAATCACTGGGTTGCAGGGAAACTTGTATGAGCATTTTGGTGGCTTACTTTTCTTTTCAAAATTAATTTCTACCTCATAAAGGCAGGTGCTAGCAAGCCACCTTATCAAATGTATATACCAGTGTGTCAAGGAACATCAAAGCAGTGAAAAATATGTGGGCTTCCATGCTCCAACAGTGCTCTTTGTATTTTTGAATGTATACAAGCAGTTAATGTCCAGACTCTCACTATTGTCTCTTTACTTCCGTCCTCTGCTTATCTTTCCTGATGTTACAGCTTCTTGCTGTAACCTTTTCTTTCCTTATCACAAGCATCCTATCATTTTCCCTCCACATTTTGCCCCCTCTGCCCTGTTGTTCTCTCGTTCTCTGTCGTACATTTCTCCCGTTTTTCACCTCTCCTGATCTCCTCTTCCCAACAACCAACACTTTATTATTCAGCAGGGATTCGCAGGGACACTGTGAAATCACCTATTTCACGGATAACTTATCGTGTGTGACACTTTTCACACATCAAACAGCAGATCCTCTGACTCTATCTCTCTCCCTGCCTAAGCCTTAGCAGTAGTTTTGTCTCAGTACCTTGTTTTTACTGTCAGAGAGCAGAAGCACACTCTAGACCAGTCACATACGAGCACAACAAAAATGCAGGTGGTTAAACTGCTGATTGAGGTTTTCACTTAGTAATTACATCTGTCACTAAAGAGCAGATGGATCAGAACATTTTAAATCAGTCATTACAATTACTGCCTCAGGATTATTGTGAAAATGATTGTTCCAAATAATGTTAGTCACTTGATACACAGCCTTCCAGTAGTTGAAGTGCTCACTTTGTTGGTTTTGTGAGTCGCATTACACAAACAGCGGTTGGTGCACACTGCTACAAAGAGCTAGGAGCTGTATTCAAAAAACATCCTTGGGCTAAAAGGATCTCTTATTCCTAGGGGTGGACTTACTTCTAACTTTAGTACTCTTAAGTTCATTTGTTGTGAAATGATTCACAAATAATTTTGGTTTTAAAAGCAGATGCAACATCTAGAAGATGTTAGAAAATTTTCACTCCTAAGTCAATATAATCTACATAAAATCAGCCAAAGCAGCTGCAGGCAACATTCACTGCTGTTATTATTTTACACAAGTACAATGACATAGCACAATTACACAAGTGGCTGTGTCATTATCATGACATTGAAAAACGTTGTAAATGAATCCAAAATGCAATATTTAAAGCACAGTTTCACAGTGTTTAGCATCATACACTGTATTACATAAACAAAGATGGCTTTCTAAGTGGATTCTTACCTAAAACTAAAATTCTTTCACTAACACAGACCTGTTACTTGTCAATCAAAAGACAAAAGTTCTTTCTTTATTTTTTTTAATATTTTTGCTTCCAAGCAGAGTTCTTCCTTTCTTGTAATGTTTATTGTAGTGTAGTAGTTCCCTAGGCTTTCTGAAGGTCTTTGGACACTCATCAGAAATGGTCTTATTCTTAAGGATAGAAAACAGGGGGAAAAGGCTGCGGTATGCCAAATTACACAAGAATTAGACTGAAATGCAGTGGCAACAGGTCTGATTGTATGAAATCTTTGGTTCACGTCTTTGTCTAAGATGTAAGGAGGTCAGGGGGGAAATATAAAAGTGAATGGGGTTGAATTTCAGCCAGGACATTAAAAAGAAAAACTGCCTTGCCTTTTGCCTAATATATTGTATTTCTATGTATGTTTACACATGCTTCAATAATTTGTTGCACCGTTTTTCTTTTTTTCCCTAGAAAAATATTAAATGAAGATTGGGTTATAACCTTTGCACAGTTAATGGTATACGTGAGTCTTGGTGACATCTATAGCATTAGGGCCATCTCTCTTTACTAGCCTACTAGTTTCCTCATTTTTTTATTTTTCCCAGCACCTTTAAATACTACTTCAAATGGAAAACCCTACACATGCTGGGAAAGCACAAGTTCACGCTTGAGCCACCTTTCAGAATAGGATGTTGCTATGTTGGCTAATGAATCTAGATAATAATTAGCTGAATAATAACACTGGAAAGAGGTGTTATATCTACTATTTTCTACTTTCTACTATTTTTTTTTACACAGAGTAAGGCATTTAGAGTGCATTTCAGATGGCACGGCCAGGTTGTACATGCATGCTTGTTTATATTTGTACTAATTAGAACTGTTAACCACCAAGCTGCTCTCAGTATGCTCACACGATTCTGTTTTCAAGGTAATGTTAAAAAAACACCCTCACTTACAGTAGCATGTACCAGATACAAGCCAAAGTACAGCAGACTTTATTGGTCTGTGACTCTGTCAGCCATGTGTAATCTAACGTAATCCCTAATCTCCACTTGGTCCAGTGACTGCCTAACTTTAATCCAGCTACAACTGAAATAAACTGCATTTGAGTTGTGTAGTCTGGTGTAATCCACTCAGTGTGCTGACAGCCACAGTGACAACACATTTAGAGGACTGCCAGTAGTCTTGACTGTTAGACAGCCATCTGCCTCGCTCTTTTTCCTGTCCTCCTAAACACAAACTGTACCTTCCTGATTACTTGTACAGCTCCTCCCATTGATACTACTAATAATAACTGCTATTCTTTGGCTGCCAGTAAACCATCTGTTTGGATGGAACAAACACATTCTTTCGACATAGCTTTTTTTTCCCCCCTCTTGCCTTTTCTCCTGACAGAAGCCTTGGGGAAGAGAGTAGTAATTTTGCATTTTTCTCATTGCATTATGCTTTGCGCTACCCATTTCATTACAAGCAAATAAAACTAAAACTAACAAAAGCACATAACTCTTAACCCATAAAAAATAGGTTCCCAGTGGAGTGTGAATCCTAATCTTCATTTAAAAGGAAGCTAACAAAGCATCCAGTATTTACAGCTATGTGAAGTAGCTGGACTCTTTCATTATCCAATATGTGTTTGGCCACTTTAGTGGTTTTCATTTGGTGCTTAAGCTGACTTCATGGTTACAAAGATCTGCTAAGCTGCTCTGGCATCACACATAATGCATACTCCCAAAAATGATGAATGCTGAACATCACACCAGCCTAGGTTTTGTTTTTTTGTTCACACTTGAGCAAACATAGCCCTCACCAACCTAAAATTCAAATGTAAACTTGTATGGCATCAGCATGATCCATCACTGTTGATAGACATGCAGAATAACACCTGCTGCCACGCACGACAGCCCATACACATAACAGAGCTTTCATTATGCCACAGATTCCTGTGAATCTCATTGATGCGCCTAATTGAGAGGACCAAGCTGCTTTTTCGATGACATAGCTGGATGCAAAAACAAAAAAAAAGGCTGTCCACTGTGTCATGTTCTCTCCTTCGCTGCAGGGATAATGCATAAGTGAAAATTAATACAGCAACAGATTTGTTGGACAAATACTGTGATAATTTGATCATCTGGTGTCTTTGTTATCAAACCCAGATTGTCATGCGATGAATCTGGCATGCCAGTTGGTCTGTGGCATTTTAAATAAGCGTGGAGAAGAAGCAGTTATGACAAAACATTTGACTTTTGCTGGAGAATTCAGGATAAGTTCAAATGGAGGAGTGGACAGGTATGGTGAATGTGATGATGAGTCAAATCTGGCGGAACATACCTGCCTGATTGGTTGTCACATTAAGTGACACATACTGCTTTGCATGGCCTTTGGCTAGGTCTGACACTCCGTTGACGGCTTCCAATAAGAAGCTGTAGTTGGTGTGTGACTGCAGGTCAGCCACCATCACTGAGGTGTTCGACAGGCCAGTGCGGCGTGGCAGAAAACGTACATTGGGACCGCACTCTTCCAAGCCCCTTCCGTCTGGCAGGACCTGTCTACAGATGACGTTATATCGCACATCCTTCCTGCCACCTGTATCCATAGGAATGGACCACTCCAAGAAGACGCTGGTCTCGTTGACATTAGAAATAGCATTACGAGGAGCAGATGGAGGGCCTGAGGGAGATGAAAAGGGCTTAGAAGAAGATACAGCTAGAAATACAAAGAAGCATTTGGATAAACAAAAGCCTTGACAGTGAGCATGAGCAAATATAAAGGGGTTATATCCTCACGTGTGCACGCCATATTAGAAGGGTCAGAGTCTAGCTTAAAGTATCCGTCTTCACAGCTGCAAGCAGTGGCTCCCATCTGTCTGGCCACACTGTGAGGTGGACATTTACTACAGGCCAAAGACTCCAGCAGCGAGCGGTAAAACCCCACTTTGCAGACTGAAAGACAGGGAGGAGAGAGGATGTTTGGGGGTGGATAGGGAGATGATAAAAGTGGACATATAAATAGAAAGGAGAAAAGGGGTCACAGAGAGAGGTACAAATACAAAAAAAAGTGGGGGAGAAAAAGACATGGTTATTTCTTTTGAAAAAAAAGGAGGTCAGCATCACACTGGTAGGAAATTTTCCCTGGGTGGTTGCGGTTGTTTTGAGGTTCCTCGTCAGAGATATACAGCAGTTTCATAGTTGAAATTAAAAGAAGCATTTGACACACTTATATTGTTTCTTTTGAAGTCTGATTTCTTCTTATATCCCTCCGGGGCTTATTTCTTTTAGTCAACCTGTATAACCTTGCTTTTCATGTTTCACTGTTTAATCAAAAAGTTTTCCTCATTGAAGGATTTCCCTTCTTGTATTATCTTCAGTTCAATGATTTATAACCAGCACCTGATTAAGTTTGGACTTGCATCTGCTTCCCAATATCGGTGCCATATGTGCAGCATTTACAAACAAATACGACAAGAACACAAACAGGCAAAATTTACTTTCCTCCCACACAAACACACACACAGACAGATCTCAGGCTGATCTAAGTGGGGCAGGTAGACGGGATGCTGATGCACTGTGAATGTTAAATGGTACTCATACATCAACAGTCTCACAAACCAGCTTAACGAGTTGGCTGTTGTCATCCAGATAAGTTCTGATAAGTGGAGTTCTATAAGTTATTGCAAAGTCAGTGGCATATTTCTATATAACTAAGCAGGACAAGGGGGAGAATTGAGGAAAAAAAGACTTGTCCTCTAAATTTAGGAGCTGGTGTTTCCCCAGTTATTGTGAAGCCCACTCAGATCACAGCTATGATTAAGAACTACATAATTAAACCTCAGGTAGGAGGACAGGAGGACAAAAACTAGGAAACGGAAACAATGCGTGATGGTTAAAAACAGAGATAAGGTGAGAAAAGGAAATGATAGGAGGAGAAAAGCCAAGCTTACAAGGATGAGACAAGGAGAAAGAAGAGAAGAAAGGACGAGACAAAGGAAGACTGGTGGGATGGTTTGTGTGTATGTCTGTGTGTGTGTGTGCGTGTGCGTGTGTGCGTGTGCGTGTGTGTGTGTGTTTCAGTCGTTAGGCAGCAGTGGCTCTGATTCACCTTGACGGAACCTTGGTCTGTTGTCATGGAACATTAGGCCTGAAAAATTCTCCCTCTGCCCTGGATCACTCTAAGTCTCACCTTTGCTTCGCGCACACACACACACACACACACACACACACACACACACACACACACACACACACACGCACGCACGCACGCACGCACACATACACACACACACACGGAAACAGGCATTTTATAAAATCTGTTTGGCATTTCGAATGCCTCACATACTGTAATTATAAGTTGGGGCTCAAGATAATGTTTTTGACACATTTATGAAGCTGGCGAAGCTTCAGGACAGGATTACATCTGGTGACATTCTCTATGCTTAACTGCCTTTGTATGGCTTGTTTCATTCAGGTGTTTAAGACAGTTATTCCATGAGATACATTTTTGTGTATTTTTGTTACATGAAGCATTTTAATGTTTCAGCTTCTGTACTGATGGTTACTCCCTTACTTAATGTGCTTTGTTAGGCCAATGATGTACTACCCTCAACATGGGTGTGCGAGCCAGGGCAGTAGGACACACCTAATCTTTTTGTGAGCCTGTTACCACACACACACCTACACACTTGTGGTTGCATATAGATTTATTGCCATTGTCTGGTCTCTAGCTCTCCTTGGCTTCATCCTCCAAACCCCCATGGTCAAATCAATAAAAATGGGATGGCAGCTCATTTCACATACATAGACAAGCATATTTGTGCCCAAACAGTGAAGTAGAGTGTTGGAGAGTAGAGTCAAAGCAGAAAATAAATAAATGAAAAAAAAGAAAAGAAAAACTTCTTTAATAATTTCTGATACTACATTCAGGTATAATGCCAAGATGATGGATTATCTTTATTTATTTTTCATCTCTTTTTGATTTGGTAAGCTCTCATCATCAGGCGTGCGTGTCTGTAACTTTGTGTGCGTGTATGTGGCGCTCCCCAAAGATCACCTGTCAGTCAAACAGTATGGTGTGGGCACAGTGTGGTACTATGATGGCTCCCTACTTGGATTTCCTGTTCAACTCGTTTTGACATTCTGGATGGTTTTTTCTTTCTTTCTTCTTAATTTGTCTGTTGGCCACCGTTGTGGCCAGCTGTCACTCAAGAGAATACACACATATATGATCTCTAATTGTTGGGAAATAGTTAAACCACTCTACCATAATGAAAATCAAATAAATCATTGTTACTTTGACATTTACTGCTTATGCAAAATAAATCTATTCGTTAGCTGAAAAATAGATATATTTTTCCTATTCCACGTTTGATAGACTGATAGACTTTTGCTCCCAGTGTGGCGTCAAAGGCGAGATGATGCGCTCTGATTAAATTAAATTAATGTATGGAAATGTCTTTCCCCTGGAAGTTGTAAATGATTATGAAAATGATATAAACATTTGCAATTAAAATGTGCAAACTGGCATGAAAAAAAATCCATTGGATGCCACTTTAATAAAAGTCAATTCTAGTTGACTAATCACTACTTGTTAAGGTATTTATTATCATTAATTCTACTTCATTTCCATTTCCATTTAGGATAAATAGATTACCCATGCTCTACATGCAAATGAACAAAGAACATGCAGAGAAATTAAGTCTATAGATGCGTTTTTTGAATTGTATGAGTACAGCTGACAACATATATCATGACTACATATCAATATCACTCTCTTCACTTAATTATGTGTTAAAGGATTTGAATGCAAAGGTTTGTGAAGGTCAGAGAAGCAAACTGGAGGTTGGAAATAGGATTAAGTGCTTAAAAAGCCACAGAGAGTAAATTTAAGAACACTGAGAGCAAGAAACAGCTGAGGGGCAGCCTTAAGATCCACAGTACAACTGTCTAGATAGGACTGCATAACATGCAAGCGGTCTACATTAACTTTACATGGCAGCTTGATTACTAAAGGTTTATTAAAAAATAAGTGCTATTTTTAAGTGATTTTTTTTCACTTCATTTATTTTACATTGCATTTACTGTCTGTTTTTGACCAACTCACCTTTTGTATTTCCACAACAATAGCGAGGGACATGCAGGCAGCTGGATTCGGATGAGGTGCTTTAATTCTTTAACCATCTTAAATGCGCAAATAACCGAAAACACATATGTATACACACTAACAGACACACTTCCTGCAGTGAGATTAGTTATGGTCATGCCTGGCTGACTGAAATAGCTCATTCCTCATTGTGAATGCAACCTGACTAGACGGCGTTGGTGGTATTAATGTACGTGTGTACGAGTATGTGTTGCCCTTGGGCAAGCTGTCTTTCTGATGCCACGCAGCTCTTAATGCACAGAACAAAGGGTAATAGGTAATTAATATGCAATACACACTAATGTGCATTTGTGTGTGTTTGACTGTAAGGTTAATACGTAATTAATATGCATCATACACTGGCATCCCAGGCAATTAAGGATCCAGCGGTATCCGTTGATGCTTCTTAACGAACGTCCTCTTTAATTGGAAACATTTCACTGTAAACATGTTGATTTATATGACTGTCTGTCGTTTGGTGGGATTAGAGCGAGTAAGCGATTAAGGCAGAGAGAAGGAGACGTACTGAGATAAGGACTAAAATGAAAGAGAATTTAAAGTTAAGGACCACATACTGTGTCTGAACACTGGATTTAAATTCATTTATATGGGCTTAGAAAACTGTATGGATGCAAATATATTAAAAAAAAGATCTCTTATGTATAATTACATAGTATGTTAATGGATTATTACTGATCATACCAATGCATCAGATTGCTGGAGAACACTGCATACCGGACTACACAGTAAATTGTATATGTAGCTGTTGTAGTTGTTTTTACTGCAGTTATGTTGCACCACTGAACCACCAAACAGCCATAAAAAGATGAAATGAGGATGGAAACACAAATGGCTCACACCATTCTGTGACAACCACTTACGTTTCCATCTTTCCCGTCACTCTTCCAACAGCACACACAGTCAGCAGGACTGACCAAAAAGTAAACTTTGACTGAAGAAATCCAAATACTCACGAGGCTGAATTTCAATGCACTGCCTATATTGTTAGCAGATACTATTGTGAACTAATAAACCAGCTGAGGAAACACAGTAAATATCCTGTTCCTGTGTTTGTCCCACAGCAAACTACTGGCCTAACAATCATAAACACGTGTTTCAGGGTGTGCATGCATGAGATGTTTCATACCTTTATTATTTTTGTATTGCTGTGTTTGTGTGCCTCTGCTTGTGTGCATGTGCCAATGCATGCTCATATTTGTGCATGTTTCTATGTGAACACAAACAAAGAAGGATGATAATACCGTAATAATACACAATCGAGTGAATGGGGTTTTCCTTTCTGTTGGTTGACAGAGGAGGCCATTGTTCACACCTCATTTATTCTCACAATCAGACCACGAGCAGAAACCCAAAGGTCAAGCATCCAGGTCACAATAGCTTTCGAACCAAACCCAATGTATTGGCTCAGTAAGTGTCTAGAGAAAAAGAGTAAATATAAGAAATGTGTGATAAATCATAATATGCTGACTGGATGTCTTGGGAAAACAATTTAACTAGCCATAAAACATACTATAGTGCCCTTTCACCATTTAGCTGACATTAATTTACTTCCAAATATTAGACTCCATCAATGGACCAACAAGCATGAAGAAAAACTGCACAGATCCACAAACTAGGTGTACAAAGGTCGGGATCTCAGTTGTACAACCATGCTCTTGCAAAAAGGGGATAGGACAGTGATATGTGACGTGTATAAAATTAGGTTGTGAATTTCTTATGACTTTTAATTCACAAATTTGCATGTATGGTATAATCCACCTGACTCAACACAAAAAATAGCATGCCT